AAAACACTACTGCCCTACGAGTGCGGACCACTGCAATCGGTCAAATCGCTGGTGGACGACGCGCTATCATGGTCATTTGACACCAGTCAATTCACCAAGGCGCAGTACGTGCGCATTGCGGGCACTGTAATTTTTACCGGCTATTTTTGGCCCTTCACCCGGGACCATGTAAAATTTGATGCCCTGATCAAAATGATCATACACTTTTTCGTGGCCGACGACCATGATGAAACCGTTTACGGCCACATCGATCGCGACGCCGGCAAAGCGGCCGCAATTTTGGGCCAACTCTACGACGTTTGCGATAAGATTAGCGACACTACGGGTAGGGGTCGACACGTGTCGGCCATACACTGGAAGCCGTATATATTGGCCGCGTATGCCGTTTACGATGAAATCTATTCGGCGCTAAACGAGGTTCAAAAGCGTCGCTTTTTGCATGTGTTTAGGGAGTGGAACGACGGTATGATTGCCGAGTGCTTCGATATTAAGAGTAAACGTCAATTCGCTAACCTGGATGAATATATTGAGGTTTGTTATTTTAATTTATAATTATTCTATATAATTTTTTAAGTTCAAGAATACATCTTGTTAACATAAATCATACTCTAAATTAACTCAGAACTGTTCAATTAATGTGCATGCTCAGCAATATAATTTTATAACACATTTTTAAATAGGTTAGGGGCAAATCGATCGCAACGATGCCATTAATACATCTCATCGAATACGCGGACAACCTGTACGTACCGGAGCCCGAGTGGAACCACCCGTCGATGCGCGCGCTGTTCGCGCACTTGAATCGGGCGCTCATAATCTGCAACGACATGTACTCATTCGAGAAGGAGTTGTTGGACGCCGGGGGCCGACCCGACGGCGTGTATAACATTGTGGCCGCGTTTGCGCAGATCGAAGGCATTTCGTTGGAGGAATCGATGCACCGATTGGTCGACGAGAACGAGAGGGCGGAGTCGGCGGCGTTGAAAGTGTTTGACGAGATCGAGGGCTCGGAGTGGGCGAGTCATGACACCCGACTGTTTGCCCGCCGGGCTCTGTATATCATTGGTGGCCATTGGAAAGTGTGCACATTTCTCGATCGCTACAATGAAATGCTCAAGCTAGAACCCTTTCTCTAGATTGGGCCTGGTTAATTGGGACTAGATTTATTTACTATTATTTAATCATTTAATAGTTAATTTTATAAATTTTAAATCCTATTATTAAATAAAAAATTCTTTAAACTAATTTTGAAAATTTTATTTATGCATGCGATTGCAGTAAAAATATTATTTATTTGTGTGTTTAAATGAGTTTTATCTAAATTATTTTGTTTTATATTTTATAAATTATAATATACACACATTTACAACTTATAAATATTTAATGATCTTAGTAAAACTAAAAATTCTCCAAGTGTTATAGTTAGTCTAATCAAAATACATAAATCGAGTGATTAATAATAAATTTATATATTTCTGCAATAAATATAATTATTTAATTATTATATAATTTTTTCTAAAGAACATTAATAAAAATTTTATAATAAAATTCTACAACTAACATTTTACATGAAACAGAGAGGCAGATTCGCAAAGGCGGCTGAATAATCATTCTCATTTAGAACATCTTTTATAGAATTATCCAGAATTGTAATTATTTAATAAATTTCTATGAAACAATTTTTTATACATAAAATTAAAAAGTAACAAGTGTGTTATTAACAGGTTATACGACATTTGTTTAAAATATGTATTCATATTGGCATATGTGTCTATTAGTAAATTTTTGCTTGTTTATATTAATAATTTACACCACACAAATGGATATGTATAATTTTAATAATTTACTCATAACAAATAAATAAGGTGATTAAAACGGATTTTTATTTTTTATACATGACTTTCAAAATTTTATAAATAAATCGGTGTTAATTCAGAACTTTAATTATTTAAAAATTATTTATTTAACAATAACACCATAATTTTTAATTATAAAAGATAAAAGGTACTTTATAGGTACTGAATTTAAACATGTCTATCAAATATGATTTTACGGGACGGGTAGCCCTGATAACGGGGTCGAGTGCGGGCATCGGTGCGGCCACTGCTATACTATTGGCCAAAAGTGGAGCCCAAGTGGTAATCACCGGACGTAATGCCAGTCTATCAAATATGATTTTACGGGACGGGTAGCCCTGATAACGGGATCGAGTGCGGGCATCGGTGCGGCCACTGCTATACTATTGGCCAAAAGTGGAGCCCAAGTGGTAATCACCGGACGTAATGCCGATAACATCGACAAAGTCTGTAAACAATGTACAGAAGTGTCGCCGAAAGGATTGAAAGCGGTTCCAGTGGTGGCCGACGTGACCAAAGAGGCAGATCTCGACCGACTTCTGGCCACTACTGTCCAGACTTGCGGTCAATTAGACATTCTCGTCAATAATGTCGGGTTCACGTCGTTGTGTCCGTTCACTGACGAGCATTTTATGCAAAATTTCCGGTCAGTTATGGACACAAACCTTAATTCAATCGTCTATTTAACAAAAATATCGGTCGAATATTTGGAGAAAACCAATGGATCGGTAATTAATATGTCCAGTGTTTTGGGGTTAATAACAGTGAGTATTATTTCGTTGGGTTCGTATATTATGTCCATTAATTGCATATTACTTGATTGTCATGTAACTAGCAAACAGACAAACATTTTTACAAACTTATAATTACTATAGCCTTTCTGTATTTTTCTCTCAATACTTAAAATATAAATATTACATTTAAAACTAAATTTTATAATGTTGATTCTCTAATCAAATGACCAGGCTCCAATGATGACGTCATACTGCATGTCAAAGGTGGCGCTCGACATGTTTACCAAATGCATGGCCGTCGAGTTGGGACCCAAACGTATACGCGTTAATTCAATTAAGTATGTCATTTTGATCATGTATAAAATTGTTAAAAAATTAACTCACCTACAACATTTACATTTACTACATTAATTTAGCGCTGGTTTGGTTGGAAATACCAACTTTTTCAAAACTAATTTCGGCGCTACCGATGCTCAGGAGAGCGCTATGGCTGAGCATATGGAAAACCTATTACCGGTTGGACGACTGGGCGATAGTCTGGATGTGGCCAATACCGTGGCCTATCTGGCCAGTAATGAGGGTAGTTTTGTCACCGGCACCAATCTGTTACTAGATGGTGGACACATGGCTGCCAATGTTGGCCACAATATTGGGTTTCGTTAATAGTTTTTAATTCAATGCTTTGATCATTAATTAATTGTGCATGTTAATTAATAATAACTTTTTAATACACTGTATTTTGTTTGAAAATTACTAAAATTTTCACATATAATAAATTTTCTCAAAACTTTGGTTTATAACATTATATTCTGGGATGATAATTTCACTGAAATTGTCTTATGAACATTTTATTTAGGCTAAATTTTGAAACTTTTAAAATATGTCGTATGTATAATTATTATAAATGACTATTATAAGAAACTATTATACTTTTGTAATAATTAATTATGCCATTCAAAGCTTTATAAAAAATATTAATAAAAATAGATTTAAATATAAACTGTAATATTATTTATAATTTTTCATGCAATTATTTATTTGACAGACTATATACATTTGATAGAAACACAATACCCGATAATTTTTTATTAATTATGCATGTTAATTAGTAATTGTTTTTTACTTTTTACTATACTGTACTTTGTAGTGATTGAAATGTTGGAGCCGGAGCCGCGACACCGGCTCCGGCTTCAGAGCCGGTAGAGCCAGAGCCGCGGCTCTGAACCGGCAGCGGCTCTGAACGGCCCCGGCTCTCAACCGGCTATTACGGCTCCGGCACCGGCTCTAAGAGCAGTCTATTTGCACGTCTCCGACACGGATCTGAACCCCAAAATTTTAAGTTTTTCAATCACTAGTACTTTGCTTATAAAGTACTAAAATCTTCAAATAAAACAAACTTTCTCAATACTATTATTTGGTTTATTATAACATTATATTGGTTTTTAATTATAATCATAAATAATTAAAATTTTTATGTTAGCAAAATTAATTATAAACAAATAAGAATAAATTAAAATAATAAACAAACAAAAGTTACAATTATTTGATTAAAATTTTATTACCAATATTCTTGTTTAAATATGGTAAAATATATTATTTAAATTTACTTATATCTATTTACTAAAAAACTGTTGACAGTATCGATGATATTTAACCATAGTTTCGTCATTTTTCGTATATATCGGTCGCTTTTTTCTTTTCAAATTTACGATTAGTGTTGTGTCTTCAATAAGCTAGGTAAATGTAAACAATTATAATGTTACTATATAATCTTTTATAAATAACAAATTGATATTATTTATAAAATTGTTTATAAATATGTAGAGAGAGAGAGAGAGAGAGAGAGAGAGAGAGACTTTGTAAAAAGATTATTTTATAAATAAACTGAATTGTATTAACTATATAATTTAGAGCTAGTTTTATATTTTAACCCTAGAAGCTTAAACTGGGAGATTAGTTTCCCATTTGCACTTTGAATTTCATTTAAAAATCAACGAAGAGTGCTAGCTAGAAAAAAATCCAGTAATGCCTCATAAATAGTTAGATTTATAAATATGTAAAATTATATAATTATAAATTATATGATTAATTAATTATCATAGTTTAATTAAAGTTTTGGTAATTATTCTCCCAGTTTATGCGCAATGCAACTTTTTTCCAACAGTATAAACAGTGCTAATTTTAATTTGCACCTATTGCATAAATGGGATATTTATCTCCCAACATTAAACTGCATAAACTGGGAGACTATTCTCCCAGCATAAAACACACTAAAGCGTGGGAGAGTAATCTCCCAGTTTATGCACTAACTGTTGGGAGATTAGTTTCCCAGTTTATTTACAACGTTTATAATTATAGTTTAAGCTTTAAGGGTTAAAAAAACAAAAAATAACTATCCAAACCTGGCCAATAAGAAACATCAAAAATAGCTTAAAGTATATCATAGCAAATACAGTGCGGACCCCATACAGGCCAATAATGATAAATGTCCGGTCGTGGCTGAGCGGCACCTGTACTGCATTGACGTGGATATAGCCAAACGACACCATCTCCTGAACGGGCGACTCTTTACGCGAAGTGGTGCGCATGCGCAACAATTTGCGGCCAAATAGTTTCAGGGTAGTAATACCTGTAATTATGGGTACCGGTCCATCACCATAATCGGTGTCAAACTCAAAATCCAAAGTTAGCACGTTTGGTATCAGTACGTGATGTACGTAGCCAAAATGTTCTAGATCTATTCCGTTGTCGTGGGGTACCTGATATATAGTAATTGCTTTGTAAATAATGTGTGCACTATTAAAGTAATTTTAAATTATGGTTGTTTTTACATTTATTATAATTTAACTTATAGGACCTTAATGTTAGAAGAGATCATGTAACTGTAATGACATGCTCATAATATTATAAATTATTAAATGGTATTTTAAATGGTAATTATAGTTTTAAATAATTTGACAGATTTGAGTGGTCTAATTAAAGTTTAGCATTAAATAATATTATGGTCAATTATGTATTATATATTTAAATGTTAATTAAGTAATATCATATTACCTCATAGTTTGAATGTAAAAGTCTGAAATATGAGTATAATAACGATAATTTTCCATCAGGTTTGTTAGTAAAATCCAAGGGGTAATAATCGGGTTCGCCGTCTTCCGAGTGATGCCATACGTATATCAACTCATTTTTCTCAATTGTCTGCCATTTCTTTACGCTTGCTTTCAATGATTTTAACTCTGACTCTAAAGTAAAAGTAATAAATATTTTATAACAAACAAACTTTAAAAACATAATTAAATAAAAACTTATAACAATTGTTTTTTATATGAAATTAATGAACATTTTTACATGTTTATGAAAAGTAGCATGGGAGTTATTTTTAATGGAACATGGCTATTAAACTATCTTGGTTAATATAGCATTAAATTAGTTTACTTTCGATTTTAGGTATGCGTTTGCACTGTCCGTCTCCGCCAAACCTCCAGCCATGGAATGGACACTGAATACAGTCGTCGCCCGACTCTGACTCAGTCACCACATGTCCGCCGACACCGAGATTTGCGCCCAAATGTGGACAGTAGGCGGACAACACGTGCACAGCACCCGTCGCACCCCTGAAGGCCACCAATTGTTGGCCACACATCTCAAACGGTTTCACACCATTGACGGGCAACTGACTCGATGTCATGACTCCGATCCATACGTTCGGGTATTTAAGTGATTCAATTTCCTCGTTTTGGTCAAAGTTAAATATTGGCTAGGTAAATATTGTATTATTAAAGTGTATCAATATGCAAATTCTCTCTCTCTCTCTCTCTCTCTCCCATAAATTTTTTTATAAATATTAAAATAATTTACCTTGTCGTAAACTATATCACCCTTTTTAAATAGTAAAATGTACAACAAATAAACAATTATGACAGCACCAATATATAATAACATTATGTTTAAAATAAAATTATTAATTCAGATTAAATTATTTAAACATGCTTTACGATTTATCCATGTAAATTTATACCTCAGAATATTCTTGTATACAGGTAAAGGTAGCATAACGAAAATTGTCTACTTTATGTTTTTCACTAAATCAAGTTCACTTTAGTGCACCATAATTCATTGAACTTACAAAAGACAAAATCAAATCGACGTTATTATATTTTTTTAAATATAAATTTTTAAACTAACCAGACGTGCAGAAACAAACACCCAACAGGTGTTCACATATACAGTGTAAAACTAACATAAAATTTTATTTTTTTTAACAACATCTAATTAAAAAAATTTAATATCTAATAGCATTTATTAAAATGTCGGTAACGTACGATTTTACGGGACGAGTAGCTCTGATAACGGGGTCGAGTTCGGGCATCGGTGCGGCCACTGCTGTACTATTGGCCAAAAGCGGAGCCCAAGTGGTGATCACCGGACGTAATGTCGATAAACTGGACAAAGTATGCACAGAGTGTACACATGTCTCACCAAATGGCCTGAAAGCGGTTCAAGTGGTGGCCGACGTGACCAAAGAGGCAGATCTCGACCGACTTTTGGCCATTGCTATCCAAAAATGCGGTAAATTAGATATTCTGGTCAATAATGTCGGCTATTGGCAGTTGTGTCCCATAACTGGTGATAATTATATGCAACACTTATCGCATATTATGAACACAAACCTATTATCGGCCGTATATTTAACGCATAAATCGGTTGAATATTTGGCAAAAACTAACGGATCTATAATTAACATGTCTAGCATTTGGAGTACATTAAGCGTATGTATCAAAAGGTTTATTATTTTACAAAATTTTACAATAGTACTTAATTTATTATAATTTTGTTGTAATTAAAATGACCAGGCCCCAAAAATGTCAGCATATGCGATGACAAAGGCAGCGCTCGATATGTTCACCAAATGCATGGCTGTCGAGTTGGCAGCCAAACGCATCCGGGTTAATTCAGTCAAGTATTGATAATTGCTATTTATTTTGACACAGTTTGAATTATAAATTGATACAACTATTTAAAACAAATGAAACAGTAGTTTAGAAATTTATTTATCATAATTTTTATTAATCTATTATTTTAAAATTTATTTTATACACATTACTATATGATATGACCCATCCATAGTCCGGGCGCCGTTTACACCGATGCCCTACAGAATAGCTTTGGTGTGACTGAAGCCGAGGGCAGACATCTATTTGATAAGTTTGCGGCCGACTATCCGGTGGGACGGGTAGGCGAAGGAGTGGATGTGGCCAATGCCGTGGCTTATCTAGCCAGTAATGAGGGTAGTTTTATTACAGGTACCAATTTAGTAATTGATGGTGGACATATTGCCGCCAATATTGGTCTCAAAGAAATTTAAACATTAATATAATATAAACTTATATTAAGATTTAATTTAATAAAATAATTCATTTATTAATTAAGTTAAATACAAATGTAATCTAATAAAATAATTTGATGCAAAAAACATATAAAGCATCAAACCTTGCCAACAGCTACATCCCACAATACCAATATGAAATATTTATTATTTACTACATGAATTTACTTCATGTATTAAATACAGTTTACATTATGGATATTTAGTTTTCTTTAACAAAAATATACCAATATTTCTGTACAAGCATCAATATAAACATTTCATTAAATTAATAAATCAATCATTTAAATACTATATTTATTTAATATTATATTCATACTAAAATATTTATTCTATAATTCAATTTATAATCAGTTTTATTGATATAAATTAAGAATGTGCTAGGAGAGCTCTGGGAGAGTTTTTACTATGTAAACTTGTATGAGTTAACATAGAGTCATAGTTGTTTAGCACATTCATAATATAAATGATTTAATAAAATGCTTAAGTTGTAATATCTCTCTCTCTCTCTCTCTCTCTAATCAATAATTTATTATTATGATCATAAACAATTATTATAGTTTACCTTAAAAGATCC